ACTGTTTTTTCATCGCTACGCGCTTTGATCCACAATGTTTATTGTTGGGTTGGATTTTAATATTGTTTTTTGTAATTTATTGATGATTTCTGATTTAGGTTTTCTTCCTACACTATTATGCATAATAAGTGTTACTGACGAACTACTTTTGTGCTCGAATTATACTAAATGTGAAAATACGTTTTAGTGATTTTGTTCTGTGTCGCAGCAATACAATTTTGTTTGTTTTTGTTTCCTGTTATCGTGCTTTAATTATTACTGTATATAATACCATTAGTTTCATTTTAAGTTAAAAAATAAATTCATTCGATGTACAAAAATAAAATGTTCGTAGTATACGAAAAATTGAAAAACAGAGCTCATATCTCATCATACAAAAGAGTAGGAGTAAAAATCAAAGATTCTATGATATGGGGAAAATTTTTATACAGTATATATGTTCTTTTTCAGGAACACATGTTGAAAATATGTGCTATCTTTTGAAAAGTGTGCCGTTAGTACCCATTATTTGGTTTCAGCGTTCTGCGTTTCTACGGAAAGAACCTTCTCAATAGTGAATATCTGAAGTAAAATGCATTTGCCCCAAACAAGAGTAGTGTTAAATTACTTCTTATCTTATGCTATTTTAAGATAAATGACAATTCTTTTGATTTCTTCATTACCCGACGTTTATCTATAGGTGGCGATAGTGAGAAGTGCATCTACTATTGATAGGCCGAACAAAACGACTTTCTGACAAGAGACAGTATACCACTATGCTCATTTATTCTTGTATAGTGTGATCAAATATGACAGAAGACGTGACACCGACTCCAAACATGATAACTTCTACTGATCAACCAATAGGTGAGATTGTTGAAAATTGGACATCTCGTCTTCATCCTCTTGCCAATCCACAATATCATTCACTTCAAGGTCAATATTGTCGTCTTGAATTACTGAACTCAAAAACTAATAATAACACCCATGTAAAAATAAAATATGCATTTAACGAAGAGAGGGTTGAAATTAGCGTCAAAACTTGCGTTAAGAGACAAATTAACGAAGTTTAACGAAGAAAGCTGCATTATTTTTCGTTAAATTAGGAAAAATCGTGAAAACACGTTAGATTTTTCACGCTTTTTCACGCGTTGTTGTATTTTTAACGATCATCATCTCCCATATAAAAATAAAATATGCATTTAACGAAGTTTAACGAAGAAAGCTTCATAAAACTTTGGTAAGTTAGGGAAATTCGTGAAAACGCGTTAGATTTTTCACGCTTTTTCACGCGTGGTTGTATTTTTAACGGTCACCAACTCGTTGCATGGCGTTTAATATTGCATTCGTTTTCATGCGTGAAGTTTTTAACGATGCTTCTTGCGTTTTTTCATTTTTAACGAGCTATATCGTGTTAACTATCATGGAAAGCTAGGCTCGTTTACACGCGTAAAGATATTTAACGATGTTTCTTGCGTGCTTTTATTTTTAACGAGCTTCATCGTGATAACTATCGTTAAACATTGCATTCGTTTTCGCACGTAGAGTTTTTTAATTTTCCTACTTGAATTATAAGATGATTTACAAGCGCTTAGAACAATCAGTCACATATCTCGTCATCTAACATATATGAGAACACGTGCTTTATAGCGAATGTATCAACAGAGTGCGATTCAGAGCCAGAATTACAATTTTGAATTAGGGCGGTACATGAGACCTCTTGGCAACAGTGTTTCTAATAGAAATCTAAAACAAAAATTCAAATGACATTTTATTTTTGCCATCAAAGTGTAAAATGACACTCTGTTTTTTTAAACAAAGTGTCACAATGTGTCCAAGGTGTGGGTCATTAGAATTAGATTAAAAAAGAGAAATATTTCATATGTTTTTCTTAATCTTAGATTCGAATCAAATACATACAAAAAATACTATATAATCACGTCTGATAAACAAATCAATTATCCACTATTTCATAGATAAGTTATAAAAAAAGAAAAAGCAATCAAAGAAAAAAAACCATTATTTTACTATACAGTAATAAAAAAAACCAATTTAATATCTACTCAATCATTAACATCTTCACTTTCATATTCTTCTCAGTATGCATGTCCTTATGATCATCGCAAAACCACAAAAGATCAATTGATATACCAAGTTTGATGCGGCAACCGTTACACAACCACCGGGAACAGTTCTCAAATGAATCCACCCAGTCAAATTCATCGCTTTGATGACAGCATTGGATTGCTTCATTTTGTGCGGGATCATCTGCTGAGATTTCATTGTTACATCTATTTGCGCCTAGAATAACGAAAAAGAGATTTTGATAACTCAACAATAACTGAAAAACTTACATTTAATTGCCTTCGACTTTGGTTTCTTTGGTTTTTTGTTAATCGGTAGGGATGGCATTGACGATCGTTTTCTCTTAGAATCAGTCGATCGGGTCACTTTCACTGGTTCGTAATCAGTTGGTACATCAAGTACTAGCTTAATTTGACGGAAACGACGATGGTATTCATTGTCATTCCATGACTCGAATGCCCTTTCAATAACCATTTGGCATCGTGAACTAAATGCAAAAAGATAATCCGAAAGCAGTTTCTCAAGCTACAGCAATTGACAATTTCACCTTCTCAGATCGTCAGGTAACAATAAACAAACGTTCATTAATACATCCAAAGTTGAAATCATTATTCTCGAACGACCAGTCGTTTGGATACGATTGGCCGTCGAAAACTAAAGCACATGGATTTTTTGAATATATTGCTATGGGGAAAGTAGATTTACAACTTACGCCTCTTTCACACTCAACCGAATTCGTTGGCACAATCAAATAAATACTCAGTAAAGCAAGCAAATTTTTGTTCTCCTCGAGGAATCGGCTATTTATTGCTTGTTTTAATAATAAAAATTGTTGCCAAAATGTTTCCTTTAAATCAATTGATGAGGGACTATCCAAAAATTCACACAATGATGGTTTCAATGTTTCCCATTCACTTCGAACAGCATCTGTATCAAGTCCAGGAAAATCTTTATACTTATTTCGAATAAAATCTAATTCTGGTCGTCCATAATCTGGAGAATCAACATCTTTCTTGTGCTCAATCAGGTATATTGGATCAAATAGAATGGTCATACTTTCTAGTAAACGTGATGGAGCAAATCGTTTATCTAATTCTATGAGCAAACGTTCTATATGTGCAGAACATTCTTTAGCCAATTCTTGTCGATCGGATAAATCAATTTTAAATGCACCATATTTTCTTTTTTCTGTTGTTTTAATATAATCAGCCAATGCTGGTCCCCATGTTGGTGTTGATTTAGATATCCATTGTGATATTAAATTTTTTTTTTCTTTGATTTCTTTCATAAGACTATAGTATGACAACTTGTCGAATTGCATTAACTTTGTGATTGGTCCTAAAGTGCAAGGTCGGGAAAATTGTAAGCTGAATAATTTGACTTTAGCTTACCAAGAGCACACTCGTGGAGATCGTAATGGAAATGGAGAAGAAATAGAAATTCATCATTCAATACATACTGAAATAATTCTTTTGCTGAACCACGATCACCATTTGAGGAAACTGGATCAGATGCATTCTGTTGGAGGGCTGCTAGTAATGCTTGATTACCTAGAAAACAAGAATTTCATCAAAACTTTATGTTAGAACCAATAAGATCATCGTTGCCTGGCTGCACATTTTGAATAATCGGTTTAATACAACCTCTAATAGAAGACCAACGAATATCATAAATACGTTTAAATTTCAATTCAGGCATATCTAAAAAATTCTGCCATTCTTTTAACATTTGTTGACGAGTTGAACTTCTTCCAAAATAATTATAAATTTTTCCAATAGTTGTTTCTAATTTTGAAACAGCTGCAATGATAACTGGTTTACCACTTTCTAAAATTAAATGTTGGAAATAAAGCAATGAAACTACTGCTTCGAAACAAATTTTAAATATTACTAAGATCAATTGTCCACGATGCTCGATTACCAACCAAACAAAATGAATGTGCAGCACAGGTATTAGTTTCAAGCCAATCTATTTGGAAATGACGTCGTAGTTTCGCTACTACACCTTCGTTAATTCCTGCAATGAGTAAAAAATTATCAGAATCTGTTTGCTTTAGAAGGTTTAAAAGCACCTGTAAACGTCGACGCATTATCACATGCAAACCAACATGAATTCACCGGATCTAAATCATCTTTTCTCCACACACTACTAATTGTTTCAACTATGTTTGCAGCTGTTCCATCACCTTCCATATCCAGCAAAGTATAATATGCTGTTTTTGGATGATAATTTTCGAGATACCGAACATAGACGATGCAACTTTTTTCCACCGTCCGTGATGTCGATTCATCCATCATCCATCCTTAATAAAATGGAAACAATCAAAACAGAAAATTGATAGAAGATCTACAAACCAATTGCGGGGCTACTTTTTATTTTTTCGATCAGTTCCTCATGCAAATAATATGCAACATGTTGAAGAAAAGATAAAGCTACATCGTTATTTCTGTAATTTACTCCAGATATTTGAGATGGTAATAATTGAACACCTAATTTTTCAAGTAATACGCACAATTGTTCTAAACTATTTAATGATTGATATTGACGACAAATATGAATTGAAGCAAGAATTAAATTTTGAACTGCTTGCTCTTGTTTTGAGATCTGTTTTGCTCGTGTTTCAATCCATGTTGGTTGCGTTCGAGCTGAAATTTTTAATTCGGTTTCTTCAGCATGACGGTGAACCTCACTTTTATGCTTGTGTTCTTTTATTTTATAAAGTTGAAATATTTGATTTCCTACAGTACACCAAATATTTTCTTTGCCTAAAACAAACGAATAACTTCTATGAAATATATAACATATTTAACTCACCATTTGTATTTCTTCTTTTACCATGTTTTTCACATAGAGAACATCGCATTGCATTGTCCTTGAAATACAACCACGATAAAAAATTTTCTCGTCGTTCACCGAGTTGATCGAATACATAAGTTTTATACATAGCATCCGGTTGCTTTTCCCAAGCAGAAAGATATTTACGACGAACAATAGTACTTGATTTTTTGTTTAACTGTGACTTGTTAGAATTTTCTTGTTGAATTGAAAAAGACATATCATGATTATCAAGAATATTTGATGATGAACACGGAGATTCACTCGAAATAATTACAATTTCATTGACTGGTTCATCAAGTATACATGATGGTATAGATTCGGATGTACATGATGATGCAGAAATATGTTGTTCATTTTCATGCGATACTAAAACATTCATTGGTGGTTTTGGACTTTTATTCCAAAACTCAATCAATTCGATTTGTTTTTTGTTCATTTGACCTAAAAAAAGTAGTGACTAATTTCAGAAGAGCTGAAAAAAAGAAATAGTATCATACTTGCGAATTCTATGTTTAAAAATCAATGGTTACGAGACAGTAATGTACATACGTTGTCGAAAAAACTACAACAAAGACAATACAACAACAATAACAATAATTGATAAATTCAAATACCGATAATAACAATCGATAAATTTAAATAATAATAATAACAATAACAATGGATGAATTCAAATAATAGTAACAACGATTGAAAAGTTTTAATATTGTAACAATAATGGAGAAATTCAAATAATAATAACAACAATTGATAAATCTTAATAATTGTAACAACAATTGATAAATTTTAATACAGTAAGAACAATTGATAAATTCAAATAACAATAACAACAATTGATAAATTTTAATAATAGTAACAACGATTGATAAATTTTAATCTTGTAACAATAATGGACAAATTCAAATAATAATAACAGCAATTGATAAATTTTAATATAGTAAGAACAATTGATAAATTCAAATAACAATAACAATAATCGATAAATATAAATAATAATAACAACAACAATAGATGAATTCAAATAACAATAACAACAATTGATAAATTTAAATAGTTGTAACAACAATCGATGAATTTTAATATAGTGACAACAATTGATAAATTCGAACAACAATAACAACAATCGATAAATTTAAATAACAGTAACAATAACAATGGATATATTCAGAAATGCGTTCACGAATGGTACGATTAATTTGAAGATGTCAGAACATGAAATACACCGAGACTAATCAATAAATTAAGGAGTCCAATGTTTACATACAATGAACAGAAAAGTGTAAAAAATTTTCAGCAAGTGTCAAGTTGACACTTTGTTTTCATGAGCAAAGTGTAAAATAGAGTGTCAAATCAATATCGCAAGGGTCTTGGACACTTTGATATCATGGTGGACCCTTGCTGTTAGAAACACTGCTTGGCAATATGAACTGTACGGTCTGATGTCAAGATACTAATAGACATGAGTTCGACGAACCTTTGAGCGATTTTACAAAGGTTTTACAAAAAAGAGAAGCTTAGCTTTCCTAATTTAATAATCTTCAAGAAAAAGTTTTAAGCGCAAGTCTAATTATTCTTAAGGTGTAAACTAAAATTTATTGTAGAGGGCGCTAGTGTAAAAACGTTCTCGAAATATTTTTGGAAGAATTATCAATTTAAATATAAATATAAAGAGACAATTTGTTTTAGTTCTTGGTAAAAGTTCTAGCTCAGTCAAAAAATTAACTTATACATATTCCTGTGCTGTTCACTTTAAATTTATTCCGATTTGGTTCGTGTGACAGAATAGATCCATATAAAAGTAAAAACAATTAATTGTTTTTTGTGATAGCTTTTAGGTAAGAAAGAATTAACTATAAAAGTACAGAAAATAGGATGACAAACATTTAGTAACAGCATAAGCATAGCTGTAAAGTTGAGTGAACGTACAAATTTTTCTAAAAGCTCAAAAAAATTTTTATGTAGCTGGACTTGAAACTTTTCATGGTTCTTTATTATCGAGTTAAACTAAGTTGCCTATTTTGCTCATAGAATTCACATCTAATATGAGAAACGTTACTTGTTCATCTTCAATAAATGCTTAAGCTGATGTATACGTTACTGCTCAGAATTTTTTATACATTGCTATTGATCGCAAATGTGATGAGCTTTCTCCAATGGTCGATATCTTCCTAAGTTTTATTCGTCCAGAAATAAAAATTAGCAAGATATTAATCGTTGAGGAAAGTTCATCACACTTGCGATCAATAACAATGTATAAAAAATTCTGAACAGTAACGTATGCATCAGCTTGAGTATTTATCGAGGAAAAACGCGTTAAACGATCTATTTTTAACGCAGAAAGACGTGTTAAGCGGTCTTATTTTTAACGCAGAAAGACGCGTTAAACGATCCTTTCTTTAACGAAAGAAAACGAGTTAAATTTTCGCGCATTTAACGCGTTTTTAGGGTCAGAAAGGTAACATTAAATTTTGTTAAATCGTTAAATTTTTAACGAATTTTCACGTCACAAAACTTCGTTAAATTACAAAAAATTTTTACATGGGGCACTCTTCAACAACTTTATGACGCATTTAAACCAACAGAACAAACTCATTTTACTTATCTATCATATGGACCATTTAAAACAATTGATGAGTTTAAAGAATTTATAAATTTGAAAGAATTAACAAGTAGTGATACTGTTCTCTATAGTATTCTAGTTAACGATATTGCCGTTGGATTCATTTCATTTCTAAGAATTAATCAAGAACATGGTACAATTGAAATAGGACATGTAAATTTTAGTTCCCAATTATTACAGACGCGTTCAGCTACAGAAGCAAATTATTTGTTATTACAATATGCATTTGACATATTAGGCTACAGAAGAGTAGAATGGAAATGTACTGCATTGAATGCCAAATCTCGACGAGCAGCATTACGATTAGGTTTTCAGTATGAGGGTACATGGATTAAATCAGAAGTTTGTAAAGGTCGATCAAGAGATAATTCGTACTTTAGTATTGTTGATGATGAATGGGTACAGTTAAAACAAGAATTTCAACGTTGGTTGAATCCAATGAATTTCGATAGCAATGGACAACAATTAACCAAACTTAATGCAGCACAAATCAATCCACGTAGTAATCAGGGTTGCCAGATTGTCTGAAAAATAAGGACAGTGTCTGAATTTTGGACGCCTTTCTGATTTCCTTCTGATAGTCTGATTTTTTCTGATTTTGGCACTCTCGTCTGATTTTCCTGTTTTTGATAATTTTCCCTATTTTTCTCATGAATTCTGAACTTTTCGAGATCATATCAGAGCTTTTTTAGCGAAATTAATTCTTATCATAACCCAATACTATAATAGATTAATATTGCACCATCTTTTCTCTCTGCTGATGAATGGTAGTGTCGAAGTTATACAGTCATCTGTTGAATCTGAACTGAAGCTTATAATAAATTCATATTTTCGTTTTTCCCTATAGCCTTATTGTAGATTACACGAATAATCAATAAACTAACTATTACATGATGCTCAACTTCTTTTTCTGTCTAACTGTTGTACATAGTATCTACAACAGTTAGACAGGAGAAGAAAGGAACAAGCTCATATGTACGACATATGTTTTTGTTCTTTTCTTTTTCTCTTCAGCTGTTATACATATGTGCTTGTTCGTCTGACCGACCTTTCATTACTAGTGTCTTTTGTCTTAATTCTTCTTATTGTTCATTTTCTAAACAGACGAAGCAGCTTGTTCGTCGACTTGTTTAATTATCTCTCCTATATATGCACTTCGTGTTTTTCTAATAAAGGAGAAAAATATTAGTTTATTCACGGTGTTACTGTTACATATTTAACTCTTTCTGATGGACGATGTGAATATGAGCGACGATAATATTGAAGAAGAACCGATTGAAGTAGCATCATCAACAAAAGCATTAACAACAACGTCATCCGGTAAAGTACGAATAAAAAAAGGAATTTTTCGTACAGATTGGTTATCCATTAATGCATATTCGTCCTGGTTGCAAGAAATTAAACATGAACCAACGAAAGCTCGTTGTAAAGCTTGTCTTAAAACATTTTCCGTTCATTCTGATGGAAAATCAGCTGTTGAAAAACATATGATTAGTAATTTACATAAAAAGTCTATGAAATTATTCGAAAATAATTGTTCATTAGTGCAATTCATTACTCCAGAACATGAACTAGATAAAATTGCAGCAGTTGAATGTGTACTCGTGTTTCATGGAGTTAAACACGGTCATAGTTACAAGTCTCAGGCATGTACAGTTGATTTAATTCGAAATGTATTTGAATCATCATTATTGGCAAAGTCAATTTCATGTGGTAGAACTAAAGCACGATCAATTACATGTAACATACTTGGTCCTTATTTTACAAAAAGAGTTATTGATGATTTATTAAATTCACGATTCTATTCATTATCTATTGATGCATCAAACAAAGGAAATTGCAAAATGTTTCCATTTACAGTTCAATACTTTTCTGAAATAGGTGTTAGTCGAGGTAATTGTTTTTTGTCATTTGAAATATTTTCATATTATATCTAAACAAAGTATATTTTTTTATTTAGGACTAATTGAGTTTATCAGTGATCCAAATGAAGCTGCTGTTGATATTTTTAAAAATATATGTAAAATTATTGATGATTATAAATTAAAATTTGAAAATTTAACTAGTTATGGTGCCGATAACACCAATGTTAATTTTGGTAAATATCACTCGGTATTCAAATTATTAAAAGATAAAGTACCTCATCTTTTAAAAGGTAAATATAAACACTTATTGTATAATTTTTTAAATGCATCTGTATTCAAACTATAAATTTGAATTGTTGTATTTCAGGTAATTGTTATTGCCATGTGCTTCACAATGGAGTGAAAACTGCACATGGTGATTTACCGATTGATATTGAAACAATCTTATGTAAGTTATATTCTCACTTTTCAAGATCTGCAAAACGAATTTCAAACTTGAAGGAATATTTTGAATTTGTGCAAGTTGATTTTAACGTAAGTTATTTTATCAAAATTTGTACCAAAAATTAGGTGAATTATTTATAAAAATTTGAACTTTTTTAAGGTTTTATTAAAACACATAAATACAAGGTGGTTGAGTTTACTTCGATCAATTCAACGTTTACTTGAAACATTTGAACCAGTGAAATTATTTTTTTTAACTCAAGAAACACCATCAAATGTACTACGACTTTTAAAATCTTTCTTTGACAATGATGAAGGTCTTTGCATTTTACATTTTTTACAAAACGTTCTTTCTGATATTCAACAAGCTGAATTACAATTACAACGTTCATATACAACAGCAGTTGATCTTTATTTTATAATTACAAGTCTAATCAATAAACTACGCCAGAAACTATCCGATAAATATTATGGCAACAATACACGTTTAGTGTTAAATGATATAACAAAAATCGATTCAACAAGAAGTGAAGAAATAATGAAAGCATTTGATGTATTTATCAATACAGTAATCGGATATATTGAATCTTATTTTAATTATGATAGTGAATTTTATGAAAAATTATCTTTTTTTAATTCTCAGTCATTTAATTTACTAACTTGGAAAAATGTTATAGATGTTGTTGATTTAATTCACATAGATGATTTAGATATAGATCAATTATATAGTGAATTTTGTGATATCAAGTGCTTATATGATAATTTGAAAAAGAAAAGTATTAATTTAAGTGATCAAGTTAAATCCTATATCTCGAGTAAAACAAATGGTTTTTCGACAACGAGAATTAACCATCAAAATGTTGTATATGATGATAATGATGATGAAGAAATTATTTCATTATCAAACAAACAAACTGAAGATTTTATCAGATCAGATCAATTATGGGCATATTTATTAAACATCAATCCATATTCAAAACCAAATTTTCAAAAAGTTATTTGTTATATCTTTTCCATCCCATGTTCAAATTCATATGTAGAATCAATTTTCAGTCACACGAAACATGTGTGGACAGATTATCGTAATCGAATGGACATAGAATTAATCAATGCTGAACTAATAATTAGAATGAATGGCAATTATTCTTGTGAAGGATTCTATAAACATATATTATCACAAACATCTTTGTTAAAACAAATTCGAAAAAATGCAAAATATGAATAATAATATCGAAATGATGTTATATCAACTTTTGTTTCTTGGATTTCCTAATTAATATATACATTCTTTGCTTTTGTACTTTGTGAACTAGTTGAGTTTAGTGGAAAAATGCGACACTAAACATCTTTTATTATATTTTTTGTATTAATTAAACGATATATTCATTGTATTGTCTTTCTTTATAGTGAAACACTTTTGAAAAATAAACTGTAAGTCAATAAACAGAAATCCATCGGAATATTCTATGCTGGTATCTTCACATAATACCAATTCGTTTGCAAAAAACTACCTTTCTGATTAATTTCTGATTTTCCAAAAAAATTTTCTGATCGTTTTCTGAATTTGAAAAAAAAAATTCTGATTTTGAAAATTTTCATCTGGCAACCCTGGTAGTAATAAAAAAATGGATAACATCTAATCAGAGATGTCCATCGCGGCGCTGCCGCTGCCGCGGTGGCGGTGGCGGCGCGGCAGCGGCAGGTTTTTTAAAAAATCACCGCGGCAGCGGCGCGGTAGCGGCAGATTTTTTTAAAAGTCATCGCGGCAGCGGCGCGGTAGCGGCAGGTTTTTTAAAAAACCATCGCGGCAGCGGCAGGATTTTTCTTGGAGAACATTGAAAAACTGTATGAATTTAATAGAATCTCAGGATTTACAAATGAAACGCCCTGATATTGAATAAATCTGATGGACTAGTACCCATATCTCTGGTCAAATATAGTCACAGCAGTGAAATTAGAAACACTTTTTTGAAAACCGTCGCGGCAGCGGCGCGGTGGCGGCACGTTTATTTTATAATTCATCGCGGCAGCGTTTCTTTTATAAGTCATCGCGGTGCGGCAGCGTCGCGGCAACATTTGTTTATAAACCGTCGCGGCGCGGCAGCGGTGCGGCAGATTTTCAGCCGCGATGGACATCTCTGCATCTAATAGAATATAAATTACTGATTTTCATATCGTTTATGATTATATTTTGTTTTTTTGTTTTTTGATAGTGCAATTAGACATCGATACTAAACAAAAAGTTTAGTTTGATTTTCATAACAAGATTGATAGTTAAAATAAACAGTTATTGAAGTTATTATAAAGTCTTCACAGGATATGATAGACATGTGTATTTTTCTAAAGATGTTGATAGTAGTAAATGAATGAATTTTAAATGATCATAGTTACATTCATTATATGCCTGCTATGCTTCTCGATCAAACTCGAAAGCTTATAAAATGCGTGTATTTGCAGAAAATTTTCAGAAGCACGCATTTTGCTTGCAAAATATTTTTCAAATTGTTATATCTCATGCATGGCGATACAAACTATTTCAAATTTTTGCGATTGCTGCTCATAAATGCAAAGCAATAGCTCATGAGTAGATGTGTATCGCACACACATGAATGGCAATGCAATGTCTTGAAGCTTAAAACAACGCACGCGAAACTGCGAATAACCGTTACCTTTGTTAATAGTTGCGTGGGGCACTCTCACGTGTTTGTGTAAGATATATGATTCGCATATACCTGCAGGGATGACTATGTTTTTGCTAAAGTCTGTACGTCAGCGCAAAAAAAGTCATACTTACAAAAATTAATACCAAAGCATTTTTTATGTCATGATGTAGATTTGTATCATTTTATAGTGTCCATGAATTTAGTTTTTTTCTTCGGCTTGTATTTATTTATTTCTCATTAAAATGAAATCGCTCTTATATATCTACACTATATTGGCTGAAAAACCTTGTTCAATCTTTCGAATTCACCTACAGTTATCAGTAGTATTCATATTTACACTTCTGTAATAGTTATCAGATGATCATTATATCCTTCAGTTTTGATTGCATTTCTAATGTTAGTAGATGATCGAGCAATAAAGAAGTTCATTTTATAAAGCAACATATATGGGAGTGGCCAGTCAGTATGGTACTCCATTTTGATATACTCCTATTGTAAGGATAAAACATACTAATGTTAGGGTCATATAAGAGAGGATCCTAGATAACCCTGAATTGGCCCGAACAACATCAAGTTTTATCCGTACAATAGTAGAGAAAAGCTGCCAACTCACACGATAAGCTAGTAGCTGTTCTCAACTATTGTACGGATAAAACAGGATGTTGTTCGGGCCAATTCAGGGTTATCTAGGATCCTCTCTTATATGACCCGAACAATAGTATGTTTTATCCATACAATAGGAGTGTATCAAAATGGGGTACCATACTGACTGGCCACTCTCATATATATATTTACTGCATACGCTTTGCTTTTTGATCATTCTAAAATTTCATGCATGTAAACGTGAATATAGTTTACTCTGTGATGCGTTCTCATGCATATTATGCCATAATGATTCATGTATGCACATACATTTCATAAGCTTTCTTGTTTACATAGGTTATTACATATATAGTCCATCCGAATTGATTAGTAAGAAATAGGAAATGTCTTTTTAAAACTTAGATGCATACTACTATGATGAATGTTTCTTTTACATTGTTTTATTTGTTAGTTATCATTAGAAGATTGTCCTTAGATCCTCATGCTAATAGCTCGCATTTAAAGAATAAAAAGATGAAAAAGAAACCAAATACGATTGAAGATATATGAACGAGAATATATTTTGAAGTGTAAATAAAATTGTATTTTTATGTTAGAACCTTTATTTTAATGATGATTTTTGCAAACAGTTCTCTCAAAAATCGATTTCCTATCGATAGCATTTATTTACAATCATCATTTTTTTATTAATAAAATTTATAATGATTTTTTGAAACATAGCCTAGTCTTAATGACTGAGTGATGTTTCAATT